AGGAGCGGGAGCGGGAATGGGTGGAAGAGGAGGAGCGACTTCAAAGACAGAAACCGAGGCTCAGGTAAGAGGAGCAGGAAAGTGAAGAGCTTGTTCATAAGACCGTGTGGGAGTTCCCTGGACATAAATGTCTGCCCTCATGGAGCCAGGGAGGGCGTCAGTGAGGCTGGTTCTGACAGCAGGGAGCTGAGCCACTTTGGGCCTTGAGTCCTCTTCTGCCAGGGATCCTCCCACACTCACCCCCTCTACGGCCTCTGACACCTCCTCCTTCCTCCCAGTCATCCAACTTACAGATCCCCTGGAGTCCCCCAATAGCTTGCACCCCAGGCGGATTCCCCAGGGAGGGTCCTCTGTGGGACTGAGGCTCTGCTTGGAGCCCGATACGATGAGATGTTTGGACCCAGCAAGGTGAGGGTGACAAAGCCCTGCAGGGCAGGGAGGTGGCTCTGTACCATTGTACAGGGAGACCAGAGCCATCCCTCATGGCTGGACAGGTGAAGAACAGCTGCGGGATAAGGGAGCATCTCCAGCACTGGCAGGAAGGGACGGCTGAAGGCAGGCAGCGGCCTGCTCACACAGTTGGCAACCAGCATGGCCACAACGGCGACAATACGGGAGTTTTTTGCACCCTCAACCTGGGTAATTCAGCATTTTCCAAACATTTCACCTCTTCTCTCCTTACCTTGCAGGCACAGGCGTCAGAGGGACCCACAGTCCCAGCCCAGACCTTCCCATTTCCCGAAATCAAGATTCCCTCCTCTTTAGTTTCACTCTGTAGCTTAATAAATAATTAGAAATTTAGTCGGGCTCAGGATGTCCTTGCTGACCACGGTTGGCACCACATGGCAATGAGGAAACATGGGTGGAAAATGACATATGTGATGTTGTGGGGCAGGGGGAAAGGAGGAGATACTGCAGCCTGTGGAGGTCCCAGTACACCATGGAGGACAGGCTGATTCAAACCTGTTTGTGTTCAGTGGTAAAAACAGTATGGTCACAGTACAGCATTTTTGCAGGGTTTTCTACCTAGAGGACCCTCAAAAAGGCTCACTTTGGTAGTGATGGCCTACCCCAGAGATCGGTTACTCTCTGGAGCGTGCCAGGGCATGGCACGCGAGGCGATTTTCCTCAGCACAGGACAGAGGGGCCAGTGGTGCATTGCCACCCCCCTGGCTGTACTTGATACGTGGAATGAGCTGTCTGTGCTCATCAGAGGATCAGTGCAGACTCTTGCTGAAGTCACTGCTTTTGTGCTGCGCCAGAGGGTGAGCCCAGGGGGTGAATGCAGCCACCATTCATCACTCTATTTTCCCTTCGACAAGATGTGTTATGGAGGAGGAAGTGGTAGGTGGGAAACGGTGGTGCTGCCTTTGGCCCCCTCCCCTCACCAGGCACAATCCCAAGAGATTTAAATGCAAGACAAGAGCTCAGCCTAGCCAAACTTGCTTCCGGTCCGTGCTTTCGCTCTCCAGAATGGATCTCCTTCCTTTTCTTCTCTCCCCACTGAGATCAGAAGCACTTTGCACCAGATTTGGCTCCTTCTCATTCCCACTCCTATTTCTCTTGCTAGAGCAGGGCTTGGACACCGGTTCCCAGCTGCATCCCCACCAGGGCAACCAAGCACCATTCATGGCTCAGGGATGTTTGATTTCAAACCTTTGAGGAAGTTCCCCTCATGTTGCCCTCTTCATTTAATCTCTGGAGTTACCCACATCATGAGAGAAATGCTGAGCTTGGATTACACTCCAGAGAAGTTGAATCCCTGCGGGCCGGGTGCCTGGTGGACTCTGAGGCTGGGATCTGGGCATTTCACTTCCAAGCCCTGATTACAGTTTGGGCAAGGTCAGCACTGAGCAGAAATGTCTTGCACATGGGGCATGCCTGGAGGCCAACGTGGAATGGCTGAGATGGGGAAATGGGGTCTCAGTGTCGTCCCTGGGGAACATATGCCTGCTACTTCAAGATCAGCAATCATATGGGAAAAGTCCTGGCCTTCGAGCACTGGCGTGCAGACTCTGGGGACATGTTTTTTATTGAAATCCTGTACAGAATCAGAGATAAACCTGACTGTGCTGGGCCAACGCGGCAGGTCCCAGGGAGCAGACACCTGGCACAACTTTCCCTGTGACGAGGGGATGGTCATTAGAAGGGTCATTTATTAGGGTGGCCTAATTTAGTTGTTTGACTTGACCTCCCTCCTCCTCTGGCCCTTGAGGACACGGGGAGGGAGATTTTCCTTTGAGGCTGTGGACAGAAGTTACTCAGAAGTGGGTTTAAGCCTGTTACAGAAAGGGTTTATTTCCGGCCCCCCTCTCCCACCAGGGGACCACAGCTGAGGTCTGCCTGGCTGGGGTGTAGCACCCCCTCAGGCATTCGCCCCTCTCCGCACCCCAGTGTCAGGGACTGGGCATGGCCGCAGCTCAGCTCTGGGCGGGCGCGTGCAACCTTTAACGCCGTGGCTTCTGCCCGGTGTGCAGAGCTCCGGTTCCAGCTCCAGCTACTTTCCCCCTCCCCTGTATGAGCTGCTCATCGTGCCGGGCTGGCAGAGTGGGTCGAAGGCAGCTGGAGCTGGAGCCAGGGCAGACGCGTCCAGGTGGAGCCCAACTTCCCCTCACCTCCAGCGTCTCTTCCCACTCCTGCCCCTGCTGCACCGCTCCGGGCGGCGGGGGGTGAGGGGTAGAGGTAGTTTTATCCCAGTGGCTTCTGCTCACAGCATGGAGATCCAGCTCCAGCTCCAGCTGCTTTCCACCCGCTCCACCCGCAGGGGCTGCTCATCAGGTGGGGTGGACGGGGGAAGGGAGCTGGAGCCAGAGCTGCATGGTCTGGGCTAAAGCGACTCCCTGCCCCTCGCCGCCCAGAGCAGCGCAGCAGGGGCAGGAGTGGGAGGGCGAGGAGCTGCCGAGGCAAGGGGAAGCTGTGCGCCGGCTGGGCCCGGCAGGCCTGTTCTGCTTCCCTCACCTCCAGCTGCAGCTCCCGCTCCTGCCCCGCGGCACAGCGCTGCTTGGAGCAGGGAGAGCTTCAGCCCCGCAGCTCTGGCTCCAGCTCCGCCTGAAGCTCTCCCCGGAAAGCAGCCGGAGCTGGAGCCAGAGCTCCCTGCGCTGGGCAGAAGCTGCTGGGCTAAATCTTCCATCCACGCAGCTTTGCCCCCCCAACCCTGGTCCCCCGCCATCCCCGCAGCTCAGCCCCCCACCAGGGGAAGAGGCTTCAGCTCCTGGGACACCACGAGCGAGGCTGCTGTCCCCGTTACGGTCCCTGCTCCCTCGCCGCTCCAGTGGCAGGATGGGGGCATGGCCAGAGACCCCCTAATGGGAAGGGGCCGGGAGCGGGGTTAATTCCCCCCTTGTCCAGCGTCTGGCGGAGCGGGCAGGGAAGAAGTTTGTCCCACCGCTCGCCCAGCGCAGGGAGCGACTGGTCGCGGTTGGGGCAGGCAGACCAACCAGAATAATCCAGGCACACCTCTGAATCAAGGCCCTGCTACTGCCGGGGCCTCAGGGCTGGTTGGTGCTGTGGCCTCTCTTGCTCTCCCTGTGGCACACATTTAGTTTCCTGAGAGGAGAAATATTTGGGTCCATCTAAAGCCATTGGTCTCAATTCTGGGCTAAAGGTAATGGCCAGGAGCATTCAGGAGGTCAGACTTGATGATCTCATGGTCCCTCTTTGCTCTGAACTTGAAATCTCCAAGTTTCTTCATGATAGACCGTCTACTTCTGAACCTCTAGGCTGTTACGGTCTGTCCAACTTCACCTCTTGTCTGGCATCTCATCCAGAAATGGAAAGCTCTGTGGCCCACACGGGTGGGCACTTTGCTCCATGTTCGTGCAGTACTGAAACCTAGGCCATCCGAGGAGCCTGTAGGACCGGGAGCAACATGTACACTAAGCTCAGGAAACAGTACGTAGCCTTTCAGATATAAAACACCAGAGACGGGGCAGTTTGTAAAGTTCATAAAGAACAATTTGCAAATGTATGCAAAGACACATGCACGCACAAAGATGTGCATACACAGAGATCCACATGCAGAAATGCACACACACGAACTCATGTGCATGCATGCACACAAACACACACAGATGCACAAGCACACACATGGACACACACACACAAAGAGGAGCATATGCAGCGATGCACACACATGAATTCCCACGCACAACCACACACAGATATGTGCACAAACACAGATGCACGGACACACAGACGTGTGCACACAAACATACAGATGTGCACAGACACAGGCATGTGCACATAGAGACAGACAGAGACAGACAGATATGCACGCCCAGCCACACATGGGAGGGGTAGCTATGGGGGACTAAGGTGAATTTGGGAGGGACTATGACCCCCCAGCGCCACTGCCTGCCTGCAGAGGCACAGAGCAGTATAACCCCCACTAATCTGATGAAAAGGAAAAAAGAAGAAACCCAGCCACATGAAAACCTAGACATTCAGGCTACGAACAGACATTCAAAAAGCCAGAGCCTGAATTGATTCAGTCTTTGCAGGTTAGTGTAACCTGCCTGGATTGAACCAATTTGCAAGGGAACAGACATTCAGGAAATGCAGGCACATGCCTGTTTGCTAACAGGAGAAATCAGTTAGCAAACACCATTTTTGGTAAGCTTTCCTTAGTTCAAGTTTCTGGCTAGGGCAGTGAACCAACGAGTATCTCCACATCTGAAGCAATTAGGGCTCGAAGTAGAAATGATTTCTTTTATTAGACCAACAAGATTTTTCCAAAAGCAAAATTCTTCAATTGCCAACTTTCAGGCACAAATCCCCTTCATCAGGCATTGGAGAAAATATTCTCCAGGTAGAAATGAAAGGTCATATTTCATAGGATTTCACAGAGGCATCAATAGATAGAAAACTTCTCCGGGCAGGCAGTTTTCCCCATGTCAGGCATTCCCTGGCGCAGAGCTTTGCCCCGGGCGCTCCTATAAATAGGAATGATATTTCTCGCTTGCTATTGCTGACCCGGTATTATCATTCCCTTTGCTCTCGCACAGCCTCGGTCACCCGCATACACAGCAGGGCCAAGCTGCTGGTTAAAACTCACTGGCTTTTAAAAAATGAGGATATACAGACATTGGCTGAGGAGATGATGTGTGCCTTTGAATAAAATCTGCAAAGAATTGCGTATCCTGGCACTTGTTGGATTCATTTGAACTCTGAGACCAGGGAAACTCCAGGACCTGCTGCGAAGTGTGTCCTGGCCTCAGGAGGTGGGTGACGGGTTATTGCATTGTATTTGATCCCTTTTGGTTGGGACTGAGACTTGGGTAGAAGCCTGTTACATCCAGGAGGTGTCCAGCTGCAGTGATCTTAGTGCATAGGGAACCAGATGTGGAGGGTGAACTCCTGGTCTTTCTCTCTCTCAGTCTGTTGAGGAAACCCATCTATGGCCTGGGAAGCCACTGCAAAATCTTCCAGACAACTTAATATTGCTGCAGCAGCTCTAAATATGGGAAGCAGTTTTGAAGCATAGCCTTAGAGGGACCACAGCAAAGTACCTTTGTAGCACCACAGGGAGCAAGGGAGTGCTGGCCCCACTGCAACTGGGGCAGTCGTGTATTGTGAGGGAGGAAGCTGTGCTGGATTCCCTGGGCCTTGACTTTGGTCACTGAGGATTTCGCCTTCCCTTTCCCTGAACAGAGCCAGCAAGGGGATGGTTGTGACTGGAAGGTGGGGTGCACTTTGAGGTTACAGCAATACCTTTGTGCTGGAGCTCCCACAAAATAAGATAATGAATCCTACTCCTCTGCTTCACTGAGGACTTCTAGTTATTTAAATAGGTATTTTTTTACCACCACCTCAAGAGGCATTTTTAAATAATTCATTTCTTGTTACAGATCCTTCTGTCTGTCTGTCTGCCCACGTGTTTGTCTACGGGTCCTCCCGTGTAGTGCTATATCTCTAGAGAGTTGCTATCACTGCCTTCCTCCTACTGAGCTGTAAATACCAGTGGGTACAGAAACTGCCGTGAGCTCTTCTTCTCTTCCAGAGGAGAGACTGAGGGCTCACAGGTACAAGGAGAGCTGCCCATCCAAGTCCAGCACAGCCCAAGCTGCTGCTGAATCCTCCAGTGTCTCACACAAAGTGTAAGGAATAAACTCGACTTGTGCTCAGCAACAAAGTTGGAGGGCTGGGATGATGGGAAAGGCCTCATGAAAAGGGGAATGTGGTGGGGTGGAGGTGGAGAGGAGTGGGATGAAGAAGCAGAGCTTGCAGGAGGCAAAAACAGCAGGTTTTACACAGAAAAGCCCAACCTCCCCTCCACAAGCAAGGGGGCCCTTATCCTCGCTACCATTTCCCTCTGCTCTTTTCCATCCCCAGGCAGCTTTCTCCCTTTCCCTCTGCCCCCACCTGTGCAATTTGCCTTCACCCTCTCTCCTCTCTCATGACAGAACAAAATGGAAAGGGAAAAGGGAGGTCAGAGACCATCAAACGAAGGAGCTGCCATGGCATCAGCCTCATCATCAGGAACTGAAGAAGGGCAAGAGGCAGATGCCCATCCTCCCTGCCTGGAGTCTCCAACAGAACATGTGCCCATGACTGGTAGGCTCTACTCCTGCATCTCCCGAACCCGTGAGGACCGTGGCAGGCCTAGAAACGCAGAAGTTCCCACCCACAAAGCCCAGATCCGGAAAGGGAATTTCCAGCTCAAGTTACAAGTGGCAAACCTAGTGGAAAAGATTCACTTGTTGGGTCTGGAAGGAACAGAGAACGTGTGTGTGAGACGAGAGGAGGCACTCACCTGGCAGGACGGCAGAGAAAGCCCTGGTGTGACATCCGACCCATCCTGCGCTCCCCAACCTGGCCCTGCAGGTCCCATGGAGGAGGCTGCCCGGGAGTGCAAGGTACAGGACATACGTGACCTTGGTTCCTTGCAGCTCTTAAGGGCCCAGCTTCTCTCTAAACTGCTTAACTTTTTTAATTCAGGAGAGCTGAATTTTCTAATATCACAGATCCATCAATTTTCCCTGCCAGAAAACTGTTTCTCTTAACGGTTCTGTATTACAGAGCTTCTCCCTGTGGATCGGGACTGGGAGCACTGGCCAGGAAAATAATCCTGTGTTTCATTTCAGGCCATAATAATACCAGACACACAGGCACTGATTCCTCAAAGGCAGCCCATTGCCCTTTGCAGGACTGCAGAAAACCCCAGTCTGGTGGAACGAAGCTTTCCGGCAATGCCAAAATATCAAGCTTTCTCCAACTCCAGATATAACACAAGGTCTGCCATAAAAATCCTTGCACCAAGGTGGATTTCTTTTGATATCAGCCCAAGCAGGGGATTTTCCCTAACTTGTAGCTAGGCAGCCATGGTATTTCTGAGAGGAAGGAAGCTGTCTTCTTTGAAAGACCAAAGTAAAACCCACCCAAACCATTTTTCTTTCTCCAGGAAGAAATTCAGAGCCGTTTGGAGGATCTCAAGAAACAAAGGGAAGAGCTTCTGGGATTGAAACGGGCAGGAAGGAGAAGGAGTCTGGAGTATCTGGTAGGTTCCCAGTTTGTTATCAGCAGCAAACCCATGGGAGATGTTCCCCAGGGGCTTTGGTGGACGTGGGTGCTTGCATGC